TGCCACATGCAGATAAAGCTCACCTTACAGGTGTACTCTACCAAACCTCGTACAGTCTGAGGCATATCCACATAATAAAGCACAAACGTTCGAGCTGGTGCGAAATCATTCGTGCGACCGATAGGCTACAACAAACCAAAATCAGTACACTGAGACTGATGTAGCTGAACTAACCTTTGTGCTGACATATCCCTCTTCTAGCATAGCGTAAAGAAGCTCTCGCGTCTCTTTCCCGCTCATCATCGTCAACTTTTCGATTTGATCTTCTTCAAGATGCCCTCTTTGCTGCAAGAGACGAAAAATTCTAAAATACAGCTAAAATACCGATAAAGCATTCGTCATTATCTTATGTAGGCAGAACTCACCTCACAGCTCGTGACTCTAATTGCTCGCGAATCAAAGACTCTATATGGAACTGGCAAATTTGTTCTACAGCTCGTTCAAAATCTGTGAAAATATTCAAGTAAAAATAAGAGCTGATCAAAAAGAAGAAGACTCAAAACAACATTTACGCCTCAAGTGTTACCTATCACGAATAATCCACCGCCACTATCTCCGGATTTTCGTACAACTCCTCGGGATTCGTCCACCAAGACTCGCAGAGCCTTTTCAACATCAGGACGCTCGAGTTCTAGTTCGTTCTCCTTCACGCATCGCATGATATCAAAAAGCTAAAACTTTCGGATAGGTCGACAAAAGATCCTGAGAAGTCAATTACTCCAATTTCACGCATACAAGGCGCACTTGGGCAATAAAATGGTTTGATGTCGATTATGAGATCAGAAAATGACACAAAAGATTATCGCCATCAAAAAGGCGTACCGAGATTGGTGCTGTATTGATCGTCGTCAATGGCAATGTCCGGATTTCATTAGCTTTCAGCAATGAACGCACTGTTCGAGTTAATGTCTGTGACGCCTTCTCCAAGCTCTAAAAAAGCTGCTGGTTTGATTGCAAACTCCAAATCAGACCACCATCCAACCTTGGGCACGAGGAGGTCCAGAGTCATTTCATCACGGATATAGCGATCAAATCGCATCCAGTTCATACGCCAATATATGCCTTCATCACCTTCGGGTTGAGGCTGTTTTCGTTTCCTTGATTCTCCCGCGTCATCTGAAATTTTGCATAATTTAAAGAGTAATGGAAATTGAAAGGATGAAGTGCATAAGTGACTAACCTGGTGATCCTTGTAAAATTACTTCAGGCATGATGTAAGGATCGTAAGAGGTCTCAAACTGAGGACACCCTTTCAACGAAGAAGCAACGGGCGGGCATTTGATGATGAACTGTGATTCCGTTAAGCGAACGAACTTCTCTTTCACCTAGAAATGGATCTCCCAAAGTGCAGATAACGGTTCAATTTTGGAGAGATTTCAAAGATCCAGAGAAAATAAGAGTAAGAATAACAAGAGAGCTCACGTCATTCAATGGCTGCTCGAGTCGTTGAGAAACTTTGCGAATGCAATCTGAGCAAGTGAGACGCCCATAGCTAAATAATTCTTCGCAGATTGCCTCGGCCAAACCACCATAGAGCGTCTTCACTATCAGGCAACATCTGGAACGCCTTTTTATAGCCTTATACAGTGCATAGCAAGAAGTATACAAGCGCATTTAGAAACCTTGGGGCCTTGCAAAACGCAAGTATCGAACTGCGATCTATAGAATAAAATGTGCGCATAGCCGAGTCGAGTTTGAAGCTCACAATAGAGTGTTGTATAAGAATGGCTAATGACTTGCGAACCTGCAAAAGGCTAATAACTTACGACATTCTCTGTTGTGATAAAAAAAATGAGATCGCAAGTAGAAAAAGAGATACCGTATTCAACTTGACTTGCCCCCTGAGGCGGAGCATAATGGCTGGTAGCGGACCAGCTTCTCGTAAAAGCGCTGCACCAACAGCACTGACAGTCTTGCCAAAGTGCTCTTCTAACAACACTTGGCATAGCTCGGATTCGAAATGCCCAGCCATCTACAAGAGTAACAGCCCAGTTACTTACTAACAAAAATAGAGAGTTGTGTACAAAAATTTGCTGCGTAAAATACTAGTGAACCTCAATATGCACTGCTTTCACATAAAGAAGGCTCCAACACCACTTCGAATGTAACAAGAATAAGGGTATAGAAATTTTATGCAAACAGGCAAAATCTTCGGAACTGTATTTAAATCATAACAATAACGAATAAAGGTAACAATCCAAATCAACAACGGAATCCGCTTACATTCCTTCGATCCTGCTACTGTCGTCTTTTGATGGCCTTGTGCTGAAAAAACTTCCGATAAGCGTAAAACACAAACAAACAACGAGTATAAGTCAACAAAATTACCTTAGATTTCATTTTCAACTTCTGCCCCTTCTTCCGTAAAAGCCTTGACTTCTTTCCTTTGGGCCCTCCTGACTGGCTATTTTTCCTGCAAGGATAATTCTCACTTTAAGGTCTCACAATCAAAGAAGATGCAAAATTACACTATATTCACCTTTTCTTACTAGTGGAGAGAGCTTCACCGGATTCGTCGCGCATCATGTAACTTCCGAAGTTGAAGAGATCATCGATAGCATTATCACGATTCATAAGCCGTTCTCGCTTCTTCTCAGCTTTGCTCATTCGCAGACGGATAAAGTTGTCTTCCTCATATCTTTCTCTTTCTTTATCCGCCT